TTGACAGATGATGTGATAAATTTTGTTCTGCATATTGATGAAAAGCCAAATTCAAAATGAGCGTTTTAATGTCAGAAAACTATTTAGGTTGGACAATACTTTTAAGATCATTAAAGGTCCAACCATTAATCAAGAACTGCCAAGTTCACCACTAGACTTTGTTGCTAAGGGCCACATCTACATGTCATTTTATACCAGCAGTGATGGTGGGGAGTAGTCTCTGGGTGAGTTCAGTCCAGAGAGACAGAATGTCTTTAATGTAAGAGCTATAAACAGATAAATATAGAAATATATACCTTCTGCAGTCATAATCCATAACAATTCACCCTACCTGATTTTTACTTGAGGTACATGCGTGTACATACTAAAGCATAAAGGAGGTTAAAACCAGCTGAAAATTACTTCTTCCAAGCAGAGTGACTGATGAACAGTCAATACAAAGCAGAGTAAATTTCAAACAAGGGAAAAATATATCAGACTTAAAAGTTTACAAGGAATATGTTGTACTTTTACACTGAAAATAGCAATGAAATTCATACTAGAATCAGTATCCATACAAGGACGGTAGAATCAGAATCTGTGCAAGGATCATCTCTGGTACTCAGCACTGGTGAGGCTGTATCTCCTGTTCAGTTTTGGGCCCCCCACAAGAAGAACTCCAGGTGAGGTGGTGGAGTCTGTCCAGAGAAGGATATGGAAGCTGGTGAAGGATCTGGAGCACAAAAAGGGTGCTCAGGGAAAGCCCTATCACTCTCTAAAACTACCTGAAAGAAGGGTGTAGCCTGGTGGGTGTTGAGCTCTTCTCCCAAGTGGCAAGCAACAGAATGAGAGGAAATGTCTTCAAGTTGTACCAGAGGAGGTTTAGATTGAACATTAGTAAAATTTCTTTGTGGAAAGCATTGTCAAGCACAAGAACAGATTGCCCAGGGAGATGTTTGGGTCACCAGGCTGGAAAGTATTTAATATCTGTGTAGATATGGCGCTTGGGAACATGGTTTAGTGGTGGGCTTGGCAGTGCTGGATGAACAGTTGGACCCAATGATCTTAAAAGTCTTTTCCAACCTAGACAATATGTTGATCCCTACACTGGTGAGAACCAACTTACTTCAAACAAATGTCATTAAGTAGAAACCTGCTGGGATTGACAGTCTTCCAAGGAAATGAAGAGACAGTAAAGAGAGATGAAGTTGCTCAGGTGGTTCTTTTGGATCTTACTAGAGAAACCATATCAGTGATGTCATATGGGCTCTCCTAGACAGATAACCAGTGCTGATTTTTCATGTGCCTTCCTCAAAGAATATGAAGATCAGTAGGAAAGCTTAAAGACCATTCATTAAGCACGCAGCACTGGTGCAAGGAAATACCTTGTAGAGATCTAGCCTGGTGACTGAAATCCTTCCTGGTCTTGTGAAGGGAAGAGTGGTACTATGTTAATGGTACAATAACATTGCCCAACCACTCTTTCATTTTCTCTTGATTGGATTTCTGAGAGATGTTGAGAAAACCTGACACAGCTCAACAAAAACCAAATGAAAACATAACATGGATAAGACTGTTGCTGTGTCTGCTAGTATATGTTCACAAGAGCCAACACTATTACCAAGAATTCCTTCCAGGAAGCAATAAGGGCAGCAGTGGGTGTTTTATGAAGACTTGGTAATTGAGTCTTTGGCCCTAAAAATTGGAAACTGACAAAACAATAATATTTCTTTTTTTAAAAGGAAATCATTCTTCCCAGGCTTCCCAGTTCCCATCTATACCACATTTTTCTCACAGTGCTGCACATGGTAAAGGACATGACCATGGTTTACTAAATATGGAATAGATGGTCTCCTATGGCAGTAGCACGAGCCATGTATTTCACTCAGGTCCATTTTAAGCTCCTGTTTCAACGGCTATGGACAGAATGGTATTTTTGAATAACGTATAAGAAAGTGCCTTGAAAAATTAAAGTAGGCACAACCTTGCAAATACATTTGGCCTTAGAAAACACTGAGGATTTGGGTGACATCGGTGGCTCTTTGTGAACTGATACAGAAAAACACAACCCTGCTGTGGAGACTGTCCAGCTGTGATAAGTGTGGCTGATAAAAAATTAACACAAGTGGGTAAGGTTGATAACTATAAGCACAAATTTGTCTTTGGCTTATTAGTTGTCTGTCAGATCCGAGTTCTGCACTGAGACATGCTCCAGCTGCACCAGGTGAGGTCCAGTGAAGAGAAAGCCATGAAAAAATGCCCTAGAGAAAGGTGAGGGCAGCAGGGCTCCTTCTTTTAGCATAAGTCTACAGCTAGATTGGAGTAAGTGTAAGACAAAACTGCGTAAGGACCGGCTTGCAGGAAAGGACATTCTTGAGATTAGTTTTTTGGTTCTCTCAGTAATTGCTTTTTTAGACAGCTGTACTGGGATGTAGGAGACTGCACAGCGTGAAAGTTCAGAGATGGAATAATAAGATCCACTAGCATGATTATGCATTTTATGTGTGAGGCACCTTTGACTGTGGAAAAAGTTAAAGCATGTCCTCCATAAAGCTTGGGATGTTTCTCATAACACTAGCACAAGTAGGTAGATGAAGAGATGTGACATGCCTAATTGTTTCTTTTATCTTCCTTGTGATAGAGACAAAGTTCTATTTTAAAGACTTACCAAAAAACAGGTCTTTCTTCTGGAGTGTAAAATTCATATGTTCCCTGACCTCATGTGTCACATGGTAATGAAACAACGTAAATCAGAAACGTTAAAAGTTGAAGTTTGTTAATATTACTGCTGAAGCTCCAGTCTCTTTCCTAGTTAAACTGACAGGTCCATAGTCCAAATATATATATATATTTACAGATTACAACGACATAAAGACAAAAAAAAATTAATGGACATCAATAAGAAACAAATGTAAATGCAAGTTTCAGATAACTATTTGGACATTACAAAAAGAAACCACCAAAAAAATTCCACAACATCACAAAAATTGCTCACATTTTAAATGGGCAAATAGACTTTCTTTGTAATATACTACCATCTTACTCCTAAGGAAATACTTCAGTAATTTACATTTTGTGGTGAAAATGTAAAAAATATATATTTTGCATTCTCTTATCTGTGTTTCTTTCTCACTTTTTTAGCTGTCTTGGCTGAATCAGGGACCAAGATTCAGAAATCTCTCTTCCCTGGTTGAGGAAGATATCATATACTGATATTTTGAGGTCAATAAACAAAAGAAGAGGGACTCCTACTGGCTTCTGCATTTTTTCCGACAGTTGTCAGCCACCTCAGAAAAACTGGCTGAATTAGATGTAGGCCAGAGGTAGCAAGAGTTCATAAGGCAACACAAAGACTTTGGGGGTGCTGAGTTAAGGCCAGTCTAATCTCAGGACACAATAGATCAGGTGTTTTCTTCAGGTGCCCACTGGCCTGGGAATTATTAAAATTAAAAAATAACTTTCCTCTTTCTCTCTCTCCTCCCATAAAATCCACAGGAGTCTCAAAGAGAATCTGAAAACAGAGACATTTCCATACAGCTCATTTTAAAAAGAGAAATCCAACTCATTAACTCAAGACTATGCCAGAGCAAACTGTACACTTGAGATAATCACAGATAAGTCCCAGCTTATTCCCATCGTAAAACTATTTTGAAGGCAACTGGAAACTAGTTCACATTAATTTATGTATACTACTGCTGTCCAAAAGTCGTCCCACAAAAAACCCCTACTCTTTCTCCATCAGATGATAGAGAGGAAGCCAGTCTTGAAGGTAGAAGGTGAAATCCTGACTCCATTGTATTCATTTGCTAAATATGAATTTACTTCAACAGAGCCAGGATCTCCCCTCAAAAGATTTAGCTATAGTAAGCAGTGGAATGCAGTCTAAGCAGCAGAGTAGAAAGACGAGTTATGGAGAGTTTGGATCCCCACTTTGCACCCGCAAGCCAAGGACCATAGTAACATATGACATGAGACTATTGTCTTGGCTGTGTCTGTAACCATCAGATTTTCAACCCAAAAGATTCACATTATTATCAGTTTCTGCAGGTAATCCTTCTGACAGAGGAATCAAACATTACAGAGACCAGGTGCTTCTTTCATTTTACAGACATCTCCTGAGGACAACTATCACTGCCACATCTGGTGATTCTAGAACTACATCAATTGTATTTTCCTTTAACCTATTACTGGCACAATATTGTGTAGTATTACTGCTATCCTGACCATCCTGATTCATGCTCTTGTAAAGGTACCTCTTTAAGTGCAAGGGAATAAGTTAGGGAGAACCGGGGGGGGGAAGAAAAAAAATTTAAATTCTTCATCAGAATGAACACAAGCAGCCAGAAATAAGAAAAATCACATGAACAACAACTGAATCTGTGTAGAACAATGCAGTGATCAAGGGAATTCAATCAGCACTCCTTCTAGCATCAAATTTAGGGCTATAATTCCCACAGTACTTCTAAAGAGCATTTTTAAACCAGGTCTCCATGTGTGCTAATTTGGATGAATGGAAATTCAATAAGTAATGAAATTTTACACAGTTTTGTTTTCTTAACTGCTTGAATTCTAAAAAAATGCATCTACTTTTTTTTCCATCATCAGCTAAAATGCTGTATGTATAATTCAGCATTGCCACTTGGTATCTCTTAAAGCTACCTGGAAGTAATTCTAACAGTCAAACCTCAGTATTGATTGACTCAGTGAAAGACTGTTACAATTACTTGGCAGAGATGCATATAGAAAAAAATTTAAATGACTGATTTTTTTCCCTGTCATACTTCCTCTTTTACCTGAATGCCATCTTCCTATCTTATTTATCCTAATTTTTTATATTTGCTATAAGATTAATTTTACTACAGCATTATTTATATTGCTTCTCTTGTATTCTTTAAAAGGTGGAATGACTACACCATTGTGTGATTTTATGAAATGACCTTGTACAATTATGTATGAAATATATACAAGACTATACATAACCTAAGAGACAAAAATCTCAAAACTATATTTAGCATACTCACTTGAATAAAGGAGTTCCACAAACAACACATTTGTATATTCCTTGAGCTTTATGGTGTGTGTACTCCCCCTCAAAGGCACTGGTAAAACAACAAGACTGCATTTTAATATTAAATAAAGGAATTCTTTTTTTTTTAATTTTTAAAGTAGTTGAGTCTTTAGAAAAATGTTATAGAAGAAGTCCACGATTTTTAAGTTGGCAGCTGTTTTTTATTAAAGGTAGCAAATAAAGCAGGCACAGGAAAAGGGGAACGTCCTCGTTAGTGTGCCTCGGATGTTATGCATCATGCAAAAGGAAGCAAATTGTCCCACAGTTCAAAGGCTGGAACAACAACAAAACCAAAAAGGATAGAACAGAAGTCTTCCCCTATCTGGCAAGTGAAATGTCAAGTTTTCGTAAACACAGATTGTTTGGCACGTAGCTCAACCTGCCCCACCTCGCTGTGTCCACGTCTGGGCCGCGTGCAGGGCTCGGTGGCTGCAGTGGAGCAAGGTGTGAGGCGCTGCAGAGCCGTGCCGCTGGGTCAGGCCAACGCCGGCTGCCCGGGCGGCACAGACATTGTAGCTGAAAATGAAATAATTGGTCCAGGATTTCAAGCTGTGCGCGCCTTATATTTTCAGTTGAAAAGCAATATTCCAGCTTTAAGGGAATATTTTTCTTAGTTAACAATCTAAAAGGCTAGGAGGTCATTCACCTAATACGAATCAGCTGCGCTAGCCCAACAAAAAGCCTATGTGCTCAGCAGCTTGTTTTTATTATCCTTTCACCCTTTTTATGAGGTCCAATTTTTTTTTATAAACAGGATTTTTAAGAATGACCTAATCTCCGATTGTTTGTGTGCATTAAATCACGTTGTTGGTCCCGTACACAAGAGCACGGAGGGCTGGGGGGAAGGCAAGGCAGGTCTCCCAGCAAAGGCAACCGTCCCCTTGCCCTGCCAGGGCTATGGCAGGACGGAGAGGGCTGCAGTGGGGAGGGCGACTGTCCCCACCAGCCTCTCTGGCACGTTCAGCCACCAAATTCAGCGCTGTCAGGAAAAGGTTTGCCTATTAACCAGGACCCCACGTGCAGCAGGGAGTCCTTGCAGCTCTTGAATGAAAACAAGCAGTTACATCATTAGTACATTTAGAGCAGAGGTAAAGCCAGGGCCTTGCGCCAAGCTCAGTGGTATAAATTAGACAACAAAAAATGGCTGGGCCTTGGCAAGTTACCTTTGGCTGGAATCAGCTGAGAGAGAGAGACTTTATTCACTAAAAACAATCTTGGAAGTCTGTCCTTTTTTTTCCCCTCCAGGACTTAAGGCTGGGTTCCAGCGACTAAAGCCATGTGAGGGCAGTTATTGAAAATTTTTGACATTCCAACCACAAATGAGCCAATAAATACCTTCTCCACATGTGCTTCAAAAAGAAATTGGAGTGGGGTGGAAAAGAACTAAATTATGCTACCTTCTTTCTGCAGCCAAAATGTCTATACTTACAATGGCCACCTTCAAAACTCCAGCCTCCTGGCACAGGGCCATTTCCCTCGTGGTTCTGCTTACTGCGATGTCTTCCAAAAAAAGTGTACCTAAACCACTATTACTTCCACAGGTTTTGTAGTAAACTAAAAACAGACTCTAACTATGAGCCTGGTGACTTTATAAGACATGCAGTGTTCATTAAAAGAAAAAGTCACACAAGACCCTTGGCCCTGGCCCCCCTGTTGCAGATGCTTGTCTTTGCAGTAGTGTTAATTTGTAGGGGTTAGTAAACAAGTGTAGAAATCCTGGAAGAAGAAGAAAACAACCAACAAAACTTGGTAGGGAAGGTGAGGAAACAGCAGTAAGAGGAGGGGTGGAAAAGAAAGATGCCTGTGTTTTTAGATCTGAGTTTCTTTCATCCTGCCTTACCTTTCAGTCCCCTTCTCCTGAGTGACATGGTACTGCAGGGGTGTCAGCCGCTTCCTCAGCTCTTCCTGGGAAAAGACCACCTTACAGTCCTTTTTATCCCTACATGACCCTGCAAAAGGAGAGGATATGGGAGAAGGAGCCTTTTTAGCTTAAATCCTGAATAATTGCTTTGGCAGACAGCCACAGTATAGCTTCTGCATTCACTTGTCAATGACCAGGCTGGTCCCTAATGCACAAAGAATGGCTCAGCTGAACTGCAGCTGATTATTTATTCAAATATAAGTATAGAAAAGAATTTTTATGGAGAGCCAGGTGATTCCACTGGAGCAGTGACAATGTGCTACAGCCAAAGCCCTTTGGTGTGTTATACACTAAATTGTTGCGCACACAATCATTCACAAGAAAGTACCGCTTTTCGACCATTAAAAAAAGATCTGCAAAAATCCCAACTACAGCTGAAACATTCTTTACAAGACATCTATATTGGAGACTTATGGTAATGGGCATATGATGTTTAGCCACAACATCTGGCAAATTCAGTACCCTTAAAAGTAGCTGTAAAACAATTCTAACCTTCAGAATTACAGTAAGGTTGATTTAATTTCTAGTTGCATCCTCAACCTTTTCCCTGTTAAAAAAGTAGCCTTTTTCCTTTTTCACTGTTGAAGCACTAGAATAGGAGTCCTAAGGAGTAAGTAATTTCTTTATGCACAAAGTTGTACAAGGTTCAACTTGTTGTAAAATTCGTTGCAAAGGAGGGCTGCTGTTGAAATTACCCTCCTCTTAAAATCTAATCTTAACACTTTGCTTAGTTCACACAGAAAATCCAAGGAGTACATAAGGATTACAGTAAAAAATAGACAGTTGCATAGTGCAAAAATCCACACTGTGAAAGCAAAAAACAACAATAAAGCTACTTCTGGGAATGAAAATTCACAAAGTAATAACATAAATGGCAAACTATTCAGGTAACTTTGATAAGCATTGGCAAAAACTAGCTGACAAAATATAGCAGGGAAAAAGCACTCTAATTATGACAGTAATTAAAATATGGTGCAATAAGAAATAAACACTCCCGAGGAAAATATTTTTTGCTAGAAATGTATATACACTCATAAAAAGACCAATTGTGTTCCCAAAGTAGAGGCAACAGAGCTACCCATCTGTATGTCATTTAGTACAGGAGAGGCAATGGCAGGTTTAAATTACATGGTATTGGATTGCAATTTCCTAACATTGGATGCTTTTCTGCTTTTTTACCTTGAGTCATTACTAAGGAGCGTTCATAAAAAGTAGCTTAGAGCACAGATGCTTGCAAATCATTTAAGAAAAGATGTTTCTTTCTTCCTCCCCCTCTTCTTTTCTCAATTTTTTAATGTGTGGGGGTGGGTGAATAGGGGAGAGAGAAAAAGAATAATGCTGTTGGTCACTACCAACTAACCCTAGGAAGTATTTTCAGGAAGAAAAAAGTAAAATTGAAAACATCTGATTGAAGTAAATAGTGCAAACATAAAAAGCTTTACTAGTGAAAGAAAAGTATTGAAAAGCGACTTTATTTCATAGATTAGAAATTACTTTTGATCTAAACATTCTTAAAAACAGATTGTTTTCCACTCTGACCCATCTCATTAGCTGTGCTGCAGAGTCTTCGTTTTAATGGCAAGCTTTGAAAGAGCGCTGCTGTATGCCTTTGTTAGCTTCAATCTTATTTGGGAGAGGGATAAAGATTTCATTCCAGGTCTCTTTGTTTGTCTTTCAAGAACCACTAAAGCAGTATTCACACAAATTTTGCAGGAATGTGCCCTGTGCCATAGCTTACAAATTATTTGGTTTTGGTGCACTTAAAGGTCACCTTCCAAATTAGCAAAATTTTCCTACATCCTGGCTTTTCAACCTTAAATGTAAATATTGTTTTCTAACTGTAAGTGAGGTTTGTTCTTTATAACATTTGGTTGCTTATTTAAGGATGTCAAACTTTGGAGGTTTTTATTCTCCAAACGTGCAGGACTCTAGGACTAATAAGTCTTTCAAAGTATAGCTAACAGGGAAAGGAAGCATATGCATTATATAAATAGCTATTGTTATCTTGCATTACGCAGCTCAGAAAGAAACTGTTTGAGAGACAGTCTTTTCTCTACAATTTCAGTTTAAAAAGTAGTCTAGGGAGCAACAAAGAATCTTACAAACCAACATCTCTTCAATTTTTAAAATATCTGCCATAATTTTAAAAAATAAATTCTGTTTTCTCCATAACTGCTGCTGCTGCTGCTGCAAAAAGGCAAACTAAGCATAACTTCACTTTGAAAAAGGGAAAATACTGACTGATTTTTTTAAACAGTCAGTATGCCCCCTTTACATTCCTTAAATAATTTTTCATCTTATTTACAAATTTAATGTTCTCCAATCTGTGGGTTTACTATATGCATAAGAAAATTTCTAGATGCCACATGATCCACAACAATGATCAGAACTAGGAAGTGTGTTAAAAAAAGATCTTTTGTATGCCTTGTTTTAATAATTAATCGTATGTTTATAATACAAACAATTGTTTATGTCTGCAGGGGAATTTTGCCAAACTACACTGAGGTAAAATGCAACCGATCCCAAGAAGGGATTCTTCAAGTTTGTAATTTGAGTATCGATCAAAAAAAAGTTGCACTACAAATTATAAAGAAAATCCCTTGGTGCAGCCTTCAGCATTCAAGAACGGCCCCATTAAATTAATTGTACTTACTATTTAACTGCTGGCAACAAACAGATAGCTCAGTAAATAGATCACACTATTTCCCTATTGCTGTGGAGGCAAGGAGGTAAAGCAAGACTCATCCCTGACTGCAGAGGATATAGGGGTATTTTATCTGAAATGGGGATAGCCTACAAGCTTCTATAAAAATGCAATTAATCCTAGAAAATACTACATGAGATTCTAGGAATACATTCCTTCAGTTAGGAAAAAAAATACATGCAAGAGGGACAAAAGTGCATAATTTTTGGTAAAAGAGTGTTTCCTTCGGGTTTTGCAGCTGTTCCTTTATGACATGAGATGACTATCACATTCAAGGCAACTGTTTGTATTCTGGGAGGGGACAACATGAAGCTACACAAAGATGTCCAATATAAGAAAAACTGCCACTAGTAATGGAGCTGTTATTGAGCTAATTATTAAACTAGAGAATAAATGGGCAGGCTGACCACCTTCCTCCATCTGGTTCTCCATAGATGGGATGAGGTTTGGGCTCTGGAAAGGGTCCATACAGCAACAAAATGCTTCAGCAGCTCAGCCATAAAGGCAGGCTCAGAGTTCACTGGCATATCCCACAGTTTGAGGCAAATGAGAGAAAAGGTCATCAGTTCTACAAACAGCATTTTGTCACCTGATTGAAGGTGAGGCTAATTTAAATGCTGTATGAGAATAAGAGAGCCTGGATTCATAGAATCTATATTTGGCACTCTTGTTCCTTGGAGATGGTGCTCCCAGCAATGACTCTTAGAAAAGGCCAGGACAGCTATGTTCTGAACTCCAGTTAGATGCAGCTGTTAAGAGGTGAACTGCCTGCAAAGACAGACAAAATCCCCTTTGATCCACTGCAGGATTGGAGGCCAGATTAAATCTCTCTAATCAGCACCCCATGGTGCCTTCTTTGGGGTTGGCACTCCTAAGAAAAGCAGGGTTCAGGCAGCTCCTTCAGCCCTCTGGCAACAGCTACAGCAGCGCTAAAGGCACTTATGATCCTGGAGCAGGATGGAAGGTTTTGTGAGGAAAAGACCAGCCTCACAAATCTTAATGGAAAACAACCCCAAACAAACAAACAAACAAACAAACAAACAAACAAACCTGAGGAGGGTGAAACAAACATCAACAGAAACCCTTCTTGGAGACTTCACAGTATTCTTGTGTTTAGGAATGGAATTTTTTTTCTGAAAAGCAAGGGAGGGCATGCTGCCATTTACTATTCACCTGCAGACTATGAGCATTTCAGAGTTCAGCTCTGAAGTCTGCTGTACAAATTAAGTGAACAGAAAGTATTTTCTGAGTGTTGACCTGATAATGAAGACATTAATCATCTCACCTCATATATAAGTTCCAAATGACTTTTCAAACCTGTGGTTCATAACATTCCTTCCTTATAAGCAATCACAAGAAAACCAGGCAACCAGATATGTTCAGACAGATGGACACAAGTTAGTACCTTTTACTTTTCATATTCCACCCCAGCCCCAATCCTGCAATGTGACCTGTGTAGGCACATCATTGAAAATATGCATAGCTACTTAAGGGTCTATGACTGTACATGAGACTACAGGATCTGGCTCTAAGTATACATCTTTTTGCTTCCCAAAGTCTGTCCCATTATAAGCGAGTCAGACCTTGGTAGATTGATGGTAAATTACCTCAAACTGATACTAAGAAGAATTCCACAAAGTTAAAAAATATTTGCATACATTTCTTTAAATAAATATCCTTACATATACTATTGCTAACACTTCGAATTTTTAAAAGTGGAACCTCGCATTTCTTTTTACTTCAGATTTTATTTCACAGTTTATGCCTCTTGTTGCCAGTTCTGCCTCACTGTCTGATTAAGAAAAGGCAAAGTCACAACTCTCTCTCACATATTTTAATTTCTGTTTAATTTCTTCTCTGCAGCCTCTAGTTTTCAGCCTCAGGAGAATGTTGCAGTGTTCTCTCACTGCAAACAAGCCAGGAACTGCCATCTAGTTTAAAGAAGAACAACTCTTGAGAACGGTTACATTTCAAACAGTTCTATTGGCTTGTATTTGGAAAACACAGTTTTATAAAACCTGTATTTGACATGATAGTTCTTTTTATAATCCCCTCACAAGTAATTTCAAATTACCTTAGCCTGCTGGTGACTAGGATAAATGCTGCAAAAGAAACTGAAACTTCAGTTTCAGAACTTCCTCTGAAATGTTTGGAGGTCAGGTTTAAGTAAAATTCAAACTTCATCATTAAAAAACCCCCATAAATGTTTTACACATTGAAAAACAGATCTGTGGTTCCTTTGCTTTCTTGCTGTAGGTAGCTAACTCCCACCTGCTGTTGAAATACCATTTGCAGTTTCATGCAAGCATTAGAAGTAATGGAGCGAAGACCATTTCCACTATATTGTGCGTTGAAAATCCAAAAGCCAGGTACCAGAACAGCAGTTTGAATTTTGGGTCAAATTCCAGGTTCTATCTTGAAAGAACACCACCCAAAAACTAACTGTCTTTAAAAAAAATTATTTGCTTAACACCAGGAGGGTCAGATGATCACTAGGGAAGGGCAAGCCCCTTCTCTGCAAATCTGCAAACTTCCTATACAATCAAGTAACAGAGCTGTCACATTTTTTTTCCCACCTGGTCATCAGCACAGCTCTTGTTTAATAAAAAAATTAAAGAAAAAAAAAAAAAACAAACCTCCAAACTGCCAGCTAATGCATGTCTATGCACTTGTTTTCTCTGCACAGAAAGTGGTACTGGGATTCCAGCAGGCAGGCCCATATCGGCAGCATCTGTTGTCTCCACAGGTCTGCAAACCTGCTTGCAGCAAGTTACACTAAGGCAGCCATGCAAGCCAAAGAGTCATTCCCTGGAAAAGAAATCTGAAGCTGCCTCTCCTCCTTGTGAATGTAAAAAACATTTAACAAAAGACTGAAGTGTTTTGCTTAGTGGGAAAGGGGGAAAGAAAATCAGCTCCTTTTGTCCTCTCCAGGCATGTCTACTTTACTTCCATGTCTGACACCAATGAAATAAATGTCACTACCAGACACAATCTTGGTCTCACAACCTTTCCAAATTATAACGACTGAGAGGAGTTCACCACTACCCTGCATTAGCTGGTGGAGATGAAGGCAGCTTCCTCTGCAGCTTTTTGAGCTGTCATCTTCACTACTGTTGCAGCAACAACAGCCTGTGGCTGCTCAGCAGAGGTTGGTGAATAGAAGAACCTTCAATTAAGTGGAGCAAAAGCTCATTATGTTATAAACTGCCACATTTGTTATCGTTTCTGCTGAGATGGCCAAAGACAGAGTGCACAGGGCAGCTGACCTATTTGCCTTACTCTTGGATGCAAACCAGGCAAAAAAAGATCAAGATCTATTGGTACAGCCATGGAGGGGGGAATATTTATAATGATGGATTTCTCTTCCTCTCCCCCCAACAAATAAAGAGACTTTTGTTTTCCTGATATTATCCTAGCACCTTTCACTGGCACTACATTTGTTTAAATTAAAAACAAGAAAGACAGAAACACTGAGCACTCTTTATCTGGTCAGTAGATTTCTGACAGAATCAATAAAAGGTGCCCAACATATGGAAAAGCATTTTATTAACAGCGAGATCAAGGTGAATTTAGTAAGAGTGCTTTATGCTACCTTTTTTATTTAAAATATTTCAGTAAGTCATCAAAATAAGTTTATTCACATAGTTTTAATAAAGGTTTAACCCTGCAGCAGAAACAATTAAAAAGTCAGCATTTTCCAGCAGCGGTGTGTAGCTTATTTTGGCATTCAGGCTGTTGCTAAATCCTCCTGCTGCTTCCTCCACAATAGTGATGTGTGGCCTGTGAAATGAGCACTGGATTTCTAGACTTAAGGTGCCTCAGTCTGTACTTGGGATGGGGGTGGAGGAAAGGAGAGAGCTGGGGGAAGGTCTCTCCTCTCCTCCAATTCTTTATAACACCCCAGTCTAACCCCCTGAAAAACTTGATCTGTCTCCAGCTGTGGAGGGTAAGGAACGCTTTTGCAAAAGCTCTGCCTGCTCTGTGGCCTTTCATCCCACTTCTCCAAACTCTGAGGGACACACCTAGCATGAAGACAGGAACTGCTGGGACACTCTGCTCCAGTTCATTCTCTGCTATGACACCACAGAAAACGCTGTAGCCCACTTCCTCTCAATCTGCTTCAGGACAGAAGGTAGAGGAACAGTCAAAAAGGGCTGTAACTGCCAACTCCATTCCCTAATGGGCCTTCTGGAATTCCTTATGTTTAGTTAAAATTCAGCCATGCCTTATGAGTCGAGAAGATGGGGTCAAGCCCTGTAAAAGGGCTTTAAGAGGATTTGGTGAAAACTTTCACTGCTCTGCTGTCCTTGGGACTCCCTGACCTGGGCCAGAGCATTGATGAGGAGTCCTTACCCACAATGCACAAAGCTGCCAGCACCAGACCTGGGCTGCCTGCACCTCCCGTTCCACAAGAACCTCTTCTCCAGACAGAGCCAAGGGCACCTTTGTACCCTAGCCATGCATCCCTACCCAGCACACCTTCTTTTGAAGGAAATCACAAACTGAGATACATATTTAGCCTGTAAGTAAGAACAATTTCCCCTCCTTATCATTCTCTGGGGCACACCTTGTCTCTACTCATTTATCCCCAGAACATGATCTGTGCTGTAGCAACCTATGGTTAACCTAGCAGCTAAGGTATGGTAATGTTGGAGCCTCTAGTGCCTGATTCCCAGTCCACACTCTGGACCCATTCAAGGTTCCATTAAATTCCAAGCTTATAAATTCCCCAAGTGATCATCTCCTCCATTGTTTTCCAACATACTTTTACTGGCTTTAGGGCTCACATTCACTTCTTGCACATTTTCTTGCTTGTCCTCCCTCAGCTCAGCAATATAGAAAATCTCCTTTCTTTCTGTGTGCTGTCATCTCTCCTTCACATCACATACTCCTCAGAGAAAAGACAAAGCCAGGAGTTTCTTTTAATGGAAAGGGAAAATGTGAAGGCAATCCTTAAAGGACTTCTTAGTCCTCCTGTTAGACACTCCAATAACTAAAAAAGGAAACTTTTCATGAGAAACTTTAAAACCCAGAAACACCCTGAAATTCATCTTTTCCGTACCCAACTAAGCAGAAAATACACTAAGCCTGAGCTGCAGAAGGCTCAGGAATGGAACACAGGAAATTTATGAACTCCCAGAATTAAAACATTCCTGCAAGAAGCGTGGAAATGGTTTGTGGTGGATCCTTTATGAGAGCAGGAAGGGAATGAAAACAACCTTAAAAGATCCATCAGGGTACACATTAAGGGACTGTCTTTGTGTATGATCTGGGAGCACAAGAAATGTCTCATCATCCCAGTGCTTCTCAGTGCAAGAATCACTGAGGAGCCTCCACCCAAGGTAGGCCAGGGACAAGCACCATCTGTCTCCTGAGCAGATGAGGAAGAGTACAAAATCACCAGAATAAAGATTTAAAAAGATGAAAAAAAGAGTACAAACTCTAAGGAACATAACAGAAGGCTTCTTGTCTTCTTTATGATCCCAGGTTTGGCAAGTACTAGACATTTTTAAGACTACTACACCAAAAGAGATATCTACTAATAAATTTCATCTTAAAATGTATTAAGTAAGGCATTCTAGACTGAATATTATTGTACAAAAGGAACATTTGTAAACACACTACAACATCAAATGTACTCCCATTAAGACAGTTTTATCTAATTTTTCAAACTCATTTTAAAGCCATTCCAAAAATATAATGTTATGCTCTATAATGATAATGTAGTGTTCTACTATCATATGACTAAAAGGCAAACGTATGCACAGACATTTATATAATAATGATACATGAATGGTTTCACATGCTATTTACTATTGAGATCACACAGTGAATATTTTCCACGTTTTTCAAAAATCTTCCTCATAACTGCTGGAAGGCAGTAAACTGGGTATTTGTAAGACTGAGTTCTAAATTTAGAAATCTATTTTTGATCCAAATTGATATTTGCATTTTTTAAAATTTAGCTGGATACAAATGAATTTTAATTTTTGCCCCCCAGCCAGTTCTGAGGAACAAATACATTCATCTGAGACCTTGTATAGCATACTTAAACCCAGAGCAAATTTTTATGTTCAAGATATAAACCCCAGAAAATATGAATGTATAATGAAAACATTGACAGACATTTAACCATAGGTGTTTGGATGGTTTATGCTATACAATATCAGTCTTACTTTTATTTTCTTTTGGACCATGTGAACAGACTTCTGGAGTAGTACATCTCTGGTGATACACATTACGGAAAACTACGGGGAAGTTATAATATACATTATAGAAATTATGTCTCTGAACATAGAAACAGACAATATGAAATGCTTAGTCATACTCAAATCACACAAAGTTTGACAGCAACTACTGTACTTTGAACCCACAAGACTAAAGTCTTTACTAGACTTTCAGTTGTTAAAGCCATAGCTGGCAAGCAGTATGCACACAAATATTTCATTGACATGAGCAGTTTGAGAGTTGGGAGGAACAAATGCATACAAATAATTCATGTATGCAAATGTTTTCAAGATCTGCTTCTAAAAGTAATTCTTTATGTTAACAGATTACTGCTAAAAATCCAGTTGTGAGACCCAGTGATTTTTTGTTCACTATTAATTTCAATTTTATGAGAAGACATTATGTTAGAACTTAGAATTAACAAAGATTTAGTAAAAGAATGAGAAACCATACTACAGATATTTACTTAATAAAGACTTACACCATATGCCCAACACCATCTTCATACAGATGCATTGCAGTTTAATCTAATGCTAGAAAAGCACAGTTTCCTACTAGTAGTTATTTTAGTAATTAAACACTACATAACAATTTGATATTACCTAGGACTTCATTATATGGAAAAAAACCCCAACCCTAAGTCTACCCCTATAATTTTTTCATCATTACTTTTACTTAATTTTACAAGCACCATAATTTTCTTTGATCTACAGGAGAGGAAAATCCAATTTATCACATGCAAAAAATGTGATGTAAGCAGCACAACATTCAAAGTGTTAAAGAAATAAAGAGTTTTTAAGAAATGAGAACCCATAATAATTAAAAGACACAGCAAAGCAATATAAGTTATCTTTCTAGGTTATAGCTTGGTGGTCTGCTTCAGAAAACATATGTACATGGAATCTGCATTATCAGTATTGTATCAGTTGCTTCTTAGTATGCATAAAGCAGATGAAGTAGTTTTTATACTAAAAGTTTGGTGGGCATTGTTGTGGGTGTTTTTTAAAGACTTAATTTCTGTGAATTAAATCCTGGCAGGTACTGAGTGCATCCTACATTTCCAAAGAAATTCAGAACATTCAACTCTAATAAAGTGGGCTCAAGGAGCAACACTTCTCTGTCACACAATGGAGCTGCAGTCATCACTGACAATGAAGAAACCTTGAACCAATGTGATGGTAGTTTGCATACAGGCAAAGACTTTGCTTTTTGCCCAGTATTCTTGCTGTTCTTAAAATACTTGTAAATGTTCCTAAGTTCTCAGGGTGTGCTTTCTGAATGAATGACTCCTAGACGGGAAGCTTTTTATATATCCCTGGGTGTGCAGAACAGCAAATGCCTAGTGCCATCTACTGGGAGCTCCTGCTCCTGCTCAGACTTGCCATCTTGTCTACAAAAAATGTTATGAGCAAACAGTGCACTAGGTGTGCACACATTGAAACGTTTAGTCCTAACTTCAGACAAAAAAATATTTTAAAAATACAATTTGGAAGAACAGATCCACACTTCAGGTGCTAATATATAAACAGAAAAAGAACAAGTAAAAACACTTCACCAGTACAAGTGAATCACACAAGTGTTTACAAAATAGTAGCTCAAAGAAGGGACAGGTCATCTCTATTCTAAGATGCATTCCAATAGTATTTCATTAATTTAATGGGGAGGGAGATGAGAAAAGAAACCTCTCTTGTTTCTGATCTACAGCTATACATTAAATATAAATTATATATTGCCTTGTGTTACTTTGTTCCTTACAGGAAGGATAGAGGTACCATTCCAAGCATAGAAATTGAAACAATACTTTCATTCAAGTCCTTGTCCAGCAAATATTTAAATGCATAGTGTTTAAAACATTGTTTGAAAGCCCAGTTTACTGCTCTGATGGCACTTTGCTTCCTTACTCTGAGCATGGGTTCCAGAAGGTTAAAAAGTCTCATTCCATATTGAATTTGCCACTGAATTAAAAGGTGGCCAAGCTCCATATGGTCCCAGAACTTGGTGGACACATGGCACGGTGGTATGGTTACAGGACTGCAATTCACACAGAACCAGACGGTGGGAAAAGTACTAGCTCAAAGTGTTATGTCATAAAAACTCAGGAGAACTTGGGTGTTTTCTGTATATTCAGAAGGCAAAGTCACAGGGCATTGTGGCATTTAAGCAGATGTTGGTTTGACATTTCCTTCCCATGATTTATTGGATACATGCTATGCCATTTACTTGCAACCCCTTAAATACACCATAGACAAAAAAAACAAAAAAAACAAACCAAAGGCAAAGCAAGCCTAAATTAATTTTTAAGCATCTGGGGAATTTAGATTATTCTTAAAATATGTGATATATGTGATTGTGTATTATTCCACTGTTAGCAGACGAATTTGGGCTTATTAGATATAAATATATCTCTATATATATCTCTATAAAGTAGTCAGTCATTGGAACTCAATCTACTCATGGTCCCACAGTTAGGGATCTAAGAGATGGGAATAAACAGAAGTGTTAACTTTGTATTCCAAAATGTGACTACTGGATTATGACAGAAAAAACAACTTGATAAAACAGGTACTGCAGTGCTTTGGAAGCAGGTACAGAGCAGCAAAACCTACTGTGGGGTCTGTGTGTTTCTAGCTGATCAGCTTGCACATCTCCTTTTCAGAGTGGAAACAAAACGGCCAGAAGACTGAGTGTCCCCATGTTCAGGTAGACAACAGCAATATGAGCACACATCAAAAGGTGCATAATGAGGGCTAAGGAAATTTGCTTACCCTATATTTTTAGGATTTTAAATCTGGCTCAGGAGCAAATGTAACAGGAAACCAAGGTCAAGCTGACACAATGTGGGTTATTCTCTCTCTTCCTCAATATGTGTTTGCAGTTCCTATCAAGGTTAATGGGAGTTTTGCGCACATGTGGGGGAAATGGAACATAAATGCTGCAAAAATTGGACTCAGATTTAGTTCAAATAAAGTCTAATAAGCTTTAGGAAAATCCATCAGCTTGAAAACTGATGTCTTATCACTGAAAAAAAATCTTTAAAACATCATCTCCATATGCTTGCTAAGTCCAGGTCTGGGAGAAACTGCTTGTAACACTCTGGACTTTTATGAACCAATTGTGAGTGTAGCACAAACACCCAAGCTGGCCCATTTTTGACGCTTAGCACAGACCAGCCAGGACTGTATCTTTTTTATTCAGGCGGCAAGAAAATTTCTAGCAATGTTCAAAATTAACTCAGCACAGCTTCTATTTTCTCCCACATAACCCTGTATACTGACATTTTTACACTGACATTACAGACTGTAACCTTTTAAGTGAAACACAAAATACTTAGGTTCAAGGTTTTCATTATAAAATCAGTTCATGGAGATGGGCTCTTATAGCACCCTTCCCAGACTGAATGGTCAAACCTGGGCCTTACATGAAAAGTGCAGCTGCATGTGGGCATTAAATTGCATGTTTCCACTTAGTTATGTAGAGAAGTGTCATGTAATTAAGGAATGTGCTGTCAGAAGAATGAAAGAATTAAGTTTTAAATTCTGCACACTTTTTGTACATGATTTTCAGTATAACATACTTGATTTATAATAAAAATGTGAAAATAAAAACATGGAGTATAACTATAGTGTACTGCTAAATATTTTGGAAAATATTTTTAAGTCCTATGATTTAATAGCAATCAACATGTAAAATTCTTTTAGATATTATCTTTTAAAATTAGAAATGGCATTAAGTAAAATATTTTCAGTTTAATGACACATATTTTGCCAAGAATGAGGAAAATAATACAAAATTTAAGAGACTGTATTTTGAAAAGGAAGTCAGCATTTCAGATTTTTAAAATCTCGGATATAAAATTGCTCACTCAACTCAGTGACTTTTACAAAAAAAGAAAAAAGTGCAAATAAACTTCTACTTCAAAGGAAAATTTAAACAGAACAGCCCATAGCACATTGTTTCCTGCAGCAGAGACCCCCCTTCCTACAAGGGCCTTTATTATGCATGACACAACAAGCAGCACCCATTCAACCTGAGGGAAGCCCACAGGCTCGCAGGGCCACTGGCTGGCTCTTTGTCACCAAATGCAGCAGGTTGAATGCAGACATCACTGTGATATCCTCACCAACAAAACCAGAGGCAAAGAACAGGGGCAAGAGCTGAGTAGGGAAGAAAAAAAAAAAAGAAAAAAAAAAGATGAGAACAAATTAAAACACCAAAAATGTTTTCATTCACAGAAAAAAACAATACTTAAAATTTTATATGACCACCACATGGGACCACAATTCTAAATGTACTTTTTAAAGTGCATTTAACCCATTCTTGCTACCCCACCCCCCAACATTTTGAGACATATTACACAGTCTTCAGTGTAACCATTTTATATGCTACAAAGTGAGAGGGCCTTTTTATAGGGGGCATTCACAACAGCTGCCTTAAATACCCAACTGAGAGCAACTTGGGGTAGCAGCCTGGTCACAAGTGCAGGGGTACTAAGGGAAAAAAACCCCTTAGAACATCAGCTAGATAGTAGGAATCCTGCATGGAACACCCAGGAATGCTGGGAAGATCAAATGCAGGCTTTTTCTATTTATTTTATTTAAACCAAGATCACACTCTGCAACATTTCTGAATGGTGAACGCTGGAAACCAGTCTTTGCTAAAAATTGTTCTTTTGATGACTTGTTTGAAGAATGTGACATTTCATTGTAATAAACTTGCCAGATATCTTAAAACCATGGCTTTTCAAAGGCAGGAAATAATTCATGTTGTAAACTGTCCATGAGATATATTTAAACAATCCTCCAGCCAGTTCAAATATAGCAAACAGAGAGATGGCAGTCATGAGATTTTATTTCAGAAGGGTTTAATGCACAAATACTAATTGTTCCATTCACCCCACAATGGGAAAGAGGAAATGCAGATGCCTTATAGCCCAGCCATGCACAGCCACAGCTCACTTCAGAAGATGATGTGATGTGGGACTGGAGCCAATCCCCAGCCAAAGTCGGTACAGAAACTCTCTGGGACTCTCGTGAAGCAGGATCAGGCCCCTGGGAGCTGCGGAGCAGCAGGGCAGGTCTCCCAGCCTCCTCTCAGGCTCACTCTTTCGGCTGCGGGAGCTGTGGGGGTGCGTCCTGCCATGGCCCACAGCAGCGGCTGTGCCAGCGGGGCACAAACTGCCCACGGTCCCGTCCTGAGGAACAAGACTCTCAGAGAAAGGACACTTACAGAACACCCCACACAGGTGCACACACCCCATCCCTGACAGCATTCAGTGTCAGGCTGGACGGGACTCTGAGCAGCCAGGTGTAGTTGAAGTTGTCCCTGCCCATTGCTGGGGGTTGGATTAAGGGACTTTTAAAACCCAAACCGTTCTGTGATAATTCCACGATTATAACAAGGACCCAGCCCCCAGCCGTACCCATCACCAAACCGGTCTGGAGCGCATCTCACACACCCGCCTCAATTCGGTCGTACCCAAACCACACTCACTGCGAGACCCCCGACACTTCCGTGCTGCCCGACGGCGGAGGGGCACTGGGCAGGCAGCCCCGTGAGCGCCATCACACACACAAACACGTCCCTGCCATAGCGGCAGCGGAGCCGCGTGAAAACCAGCGCGGATCCTTCCGGAGCAGACCGCCAGGAGACCCGAGGGCGCTGTCTCTCAGCTGGTACTGTCCCGCAGCCGGCGCTGTGCCGCAGCTGGCACTGTCCCTCAGCCGGCACTGTCCCGCAGCTGGCACTGTCCCTCAGCCGGCACTGTCCCGCAGTCGGCGCTGTCCCGCAGCCGGGCTGAGGCCGGCGCCGCGCTCCGGCAGCAGCGGTATCGAGCGCCCCCTGTCGGCGGGCAGCCCGCAGTGGCCCGCGCCAGTGGCGCCGCCTGGCGGCCGCTGCCCAGCACGCTCCTGCGAGACGCTGCACTTACAGCCCAGCCGGACACTGCCTCCCTGCCCTCCTCCTCCTCCTCCGCCCTCCCTCCTTCAACTGTAAACAGCTCAAAGGAAATTATTTGAAATTCACCAGAATTATAAAATATTCTGGCCTTTTGAAACTGTCAAGTATGTCAGTGTTCACCAAAATGTTAATATTTACTCTCACATATTCATAAAGACTTGGAGGATATGCAAGTCCTGGGAGCCCAGTAAAATATCACTGAGCATCCATAAAAGTACTTTATTGCAGTTAATCTAATTTATTCTTTTATTGCTGATGCTTTGATTGCTATTTCTATTTACTCTTACATTATAGCAATGCCCAGTAGTTCCAGTGGGAGGAGACCTCCTGGTGCCAGGTACTGTATGCACACAAACCCTGCTACAGGAAGCTTCCAGACCCCATAAGAACGGCTTGTGATGAATCAGTAAAGAGAAGTACAAAGTCAAACTCATTGCAATTAACGCGTTTGGTTTGGACGTGCATCACCCCACCTGCCAGTTCCATGGGAACAGAGAACAGATTTAGGGAGAACAGTAACATTGTGATAGGTTCATGTCTTCCCTCTGCTCTTTCTGTGGCACATGCAAACTTGGCCATAGCCTTTAGCAGGTTCAAGTGCTGTGTTCATATCTCTGATTTACTTAAGAGGAACAGCCAGAGCCTGACAAACATAGGAAGAAGTCCAGAGAAAGGCAATGTCATTGGTGATGTGTCTGTAGCACAAGTCTGATGAGGAGTGGCTGAGGAAGCTGGGGTTGGTTAACCTGGAGAAAAGAAGGCTCAGGAGTGATATCAGTTATCAGTCTCTTCAACTATCTGAAAGAAGGTTGTAGCCAGGTGAGGGCCAGCCTCTTCTCCCAGGCAACCAAAAGTAGGATGACAGGACATACTCTTAAGTTACATCAGGGAAGGTTTAGGTGGAGCATTAAGAAGAATTTCTTCACAGAAAAAGTGATCAGACATTGGAATGGGCTGCCCAAGGAGGTGTCATGGTCTAGTTGACAAGGTGGTACTCAGTCAAAGGCTGGATTCAATGATCTCAGAGGTTTTTTCCAACCTAAATGATTCTGTGAAAGCTGATTCCCATCCTGGGAATAGATGGCTGGTGGTTTAAACTCCCATGCTATACATGCCTAGCCCTCCACAGGTTAAGCAAAGCCCCCATGCTGGTGCTGGAGGTACCTGCCTGAGCCCCAGGGATCCCATCTGTACTGGCACAGCACCTCGCCTTGCCAGGGGCCAGGTGGCCTGGGGACAGCAATGCTAACACAGCTGTCACATGCCTGAGCCACAGTGAGTACTGCAGCACTGCACTTCCACCACACAGACTCACCAAACCCGTCTTTATTGCAGGACTGCAGTATGCCACTCTCCTGTAAGGACAGATGCTACTTGAAGAGGTCAGAGCAGAACTCACAATTCAGGGAAGGGGGTGATGCCTTCATACATCACTGTTTGGGTTTATTTTGGTGGATTGCCCTTTTTTTATAAACACACTGCTGTCCTGCAACACCCAGGACACTGTTGGCTCCTCCACAGTTCTCCCTGGGTGTCATCAGACCCCTTGGAACTCCTTCAGTGCACTTCACTCTTTAACAGAGTACAACATGGATCTTCCATCTGTTTGGCTCTCATAAGATGGACACCATGCTCAGCAATAACTTGCAAATCTTGTAAGTACAGATAGTACAAATACAGCAGTGACTATGGCATTAGCTGGGTTTCAGAAGCAGTTTTCTAGGATATGCATTTTAATTCCAGGGAAGCCTTCCTCTCAGGATCCTAATGTTGGCAAATATTAAGGAACTACCAGCTTTCAAGAGCTTCTATACTGTCCATTGTGGACATTCAGAAAATATAAGTTTCACCCTGAAATTATTAGCTATAAAGTAGTGTAGGTGGTCTGTCAAATTTGTCCTTCGGAAATTAAGAACTTTGTATGTACTCAGGTTATGTTTTTTCAACCTCTGTCTGCAACTAGAAAAATTTCTTTGGGTGAAGGACAACTTGAGAGGTTAAATTCTGATATTGCCACATCTTGTTTTTAAGAGCAGTAGGGGAAACATCAAGGGTCTCTGGAGCTCATAACACTACTGGTTTAAATTTTTCCATATTCAGTGTTATTCCTGACAACTCAGATCCAGAATTCCTAAAATTACATGAGAATCCCAGCTCTCACAAGAAAATACATGAAGTTTTAGCTCTTTACAAGTAAATTAAAAAAACATCCACAAATTCTTAAGGGAAGGATCAGGGGTTTTTTTCTTGCCCCAATAATAAGACCTTAGTAGTGTGAGGTTTCTACCTTTTTCCAATTTCCCTTCCCCCAGCCCCAAGTCTCTGGCCTCATTTGGAGGGCAGGAAACAATTAAGAGATAGGCACACACTAGTCAGCCAGGCTCCCAGGCTCTTGTCAGGAATTCCTATGTCACTGGAAAAAGCATAAAGCAAAAAAATTGCCACACTGAAGAAAGCCAAACAACTAGAAGTTAGAAAGAAGTAAAGGCCTGGGAGTCTACTGTACTCAAGTGTTAAATTAACAGTTTAATTGTTATCAGTATTTGTTTTGTAAAATTTTTTTCAGTCCAGCAATAACTTTGAACAGTTGTTTTGCAAAGGGTTTAACTATTTATTTTGACACAAAGCAAACTATAACCAAATGTTTCTCTGACAAAACTTAGTGGATTATTTTGTATATATGTTTATTTCAGTTTTAACATTTGGATTTTTTTTTTTTAATTTGGCTTTTGCTCACCTAAAGCTGCTGCCAGTCAGAGTCAGCAGACAGGACAGACCAACCCTCAGGAACTGCAGAAACAAAAGGTGCAGCATGAAGAGAGAACCACATGAGCAAGTGTTTGAGTAGATCATGTCTTTCTGTGTCTAAACAATTATTTACTCCCTAGTCATTTTTCCTTTACACATTCTGTGCTAACGCCAAAGACCTTGGCCTTTCCTGCTCTCTGCACTGCACTTGGTGGCTTTAAGGGACTTTCCTGTTTGCAGGTTTGACATGGTGTATGCTATGGTGCAGACAAAGGCAATGTTGAATAGTTTGTAAGAGATGTTTAATTAACCACCGTGAAGCTGCCAGCTCTGGCAGGAGACTGGAGTACAGGAAAAGTTTTCAGCAGGGGCCTGATGACTGCTGGTCATTTATCAGTGAAAGAAGGAGGGAAGAGTTCCAGTTCCCACTCCAATCCAAGATGTCTAATCCTGAAACTAGCACCCTTTGCAGTGCACAAGGTATTTTCACACTTACATACCTGGGCTGTCCAACATCCTGAGAGAACCATGAGGAGGCAGCCTTCAGCTCTCAAAAAACCACACATCCTGTGAATATGCATTTGTGCTTTATAATTATATTTTCAGACAACTGCATGTTTCAATGCACCGTACTGTATTTGAAGCATTTGGCAAAAAGTAGTAATAGACAAAAGCCTGGAAAATTATAATTTAGATAAGATATTATGAATAAATTATTCACTATGAGAGTAGTGAGACACTGGAGGAGGTTGCCCAGAGAAGTGGTAAATGTCCCATCCCTGTAAGCCAAGGCCAGGTTGAATAGGGCTCTGAACAGCCTGGTCTAGTGGAAGGTATCCCTGCCCACAACAGGGGTTTTGGAACCAGATTATCTTTAAGGCCCCTTCCAACCAAACCATTCTGTGATTCTATGAGATTTACTTTTAAAAAGAGATTTTAGGCTCTGGATTTTCATGTGCTTGTGTATCTATTGATAATACAAACCAGGTGTCTTCAAAGGTTTGTGATTTGTTATTTGCTATTAAAATACCTTGCAAAAGCTCACTGTCTGATGAGAATAAAATACTTTAATCATTAACAGCTAGGATAATGATAAAGGCAATTATCAATTTAAGCTTCTCAAAGACTTACTGAAGAGGAATAAAGCATTCTAAATGAAATTAATTGCATTAACTTTACAGGTCTACAGAAGTACTGTACCATATAGCTTGCATGCTTGTTGGCATATATTCCCCCTATACAATGTTAGCTTCTCAATTACAGCCACAGAAATCTGAAGTATTAGACGTGAATTCCCACTTCACTTTTAAGACTCTCAGTTAAAGCATGTTCCCCTTAGCTGCTTGTGCTGGAATGTATAAACCAAATGGCAATCCTGTCTACTTTTAGGAAGTTTACATTGTGCCCTGATAAAAGAGGTAATTACTGTCACACCTTGTAATATTTGAATGGAATGTCAGGAAATGTCAAGGTTTAAACCTGAAGTTAGTACTGTCATTAGAACGGAGCCTAAACAGTGAAGTTCAAAACCATTTTGTTTTCTTGAATTTTACATATTCTCTTATACTGGATTTTGTTCTTAAACCCTTCCCAGAGCAACTGAAACTCCAACCTAAAAACCTTCCTGCAAAACACACATAAGACATTTTCAAGTACCAGTTTGCCCCACAGATGCTTTAGGATACTGTCAGATCCAGGTATTTAATGGCCCTTACTTATAGGAATGATAATTTGCAAAGCAACCAGACACGTCCCTAACTGTGGAGGCTATTCAGCGTTTCATGCCATGAACTGCAGCAGAGCCAGCAGGGCTGGAGGTGGCAGACACCTGCCTGGGCACAATAAGCATGGCACACACCAGGGCTGCTCAAGCTCGAGGGGTGCACAGGGCCCTCCCCAGTCCCACAGCTTCCTCAGCTTCCTCACGGTGCCCACCGGCCAGTCCTCCTTCTCCTGTGAAATGGGGTTATCCAGTCCAGTCTATGGACATTCCTGAGGTACCCTTTGCATATTCTAGCTGGGTGCTTCAGCAGCTTTTGTTCAGTGGGAGTAGGGAAGGAAGAAGAAATGTCTAAAGGTTGGGATCAGACATAAAACAGAGGAAAGCAGAAAAGAAGAATAAGCTGAAATGCTCATCTGTTCACACTGAGTCCCACTCTGTGATACACAACTGACAGGCATTGCCATATGGATTAATGCCCTCCATACTTTATCCTTAGGTTGCATAAAAGTTCCTACTGAGGTGAATCAGAGATATTTTTAGGAACTCAGCCCTTAGTCTGAGCTTTATTACCCAGACTTCCGTCCTCCATGTAAGAGAGATGAGATTCCCACAACAGATTTTAGGTTATCATATAGCTTAAAATTATTATCTTTCCAATAAAATAATAATAAAAAATCTTGGAAAGCAAACCAGATACTGAAATCTCTGCACATAATTCAGCATAATCTCACTGATTCCAACTGCTGACAAAAAGATATGCAATGTGAGGAGCCACCATATCTTTCCATTTGTATTAGAATGGTTCTCCAGAATAGAAAAATTATTTATACTTATAATAGAAAATCACTACATCTGAGCAGAAAACAAAGACGTATATTTCATTTTCCTTTAATTACCAAATTGAGCTAACATTCTCTCTAATAACAGCTGCCTAAAATGGAAAGCTTACAGTCTCTCACAGGAATAACCCTTTCTGTATGCTGAACTGGCCACTGCACAGCCACTGCAGCTCCCCCTCTCCCGCTAGCAAAAAACCAGCTCTGCAACAATGAGGCCAGTGTGACTAAAGCCCTAGGATTGTCCATGGGCCAAATTTAAAGAGCCTGAGAAGTGAGAAGACAATCAAAACAAATGAGTTTTTGAAAGCTGTACCCTCCAAAAAAGCAACAAGGGGAAAGACATATTAATGCCTCCCTGTTCAGCAACTGGCTCCCATGGACAAGAAAACTGTGGGCTTGATTTCTCCTTATTTGACAACTAATATTTACACACAGCAGAACACTGATACTGATCTCATCCAAACAACCAAAGGATGTGGCCTGTGGGGATGTGAAGGGCATCCATGCTACACTGAGTACAAGTGTAGGAGGGAGGCAATTGTTTCTGCTTTAAGTAATACAGAAGAAGGTCCTTGCGAGGGACTCTCACTTGGTCCTTAGGGAGGGTAGTAAAATGGAAGGAGATTTCATTAATGAAGAGACAAGACAGCACAGGCCTTGTGGACAACAGATGAAATGGAAAAAGCGAAACTGCAAAGAGACACAAAAAAGCAGCAACCCCAAGCAAGGGAAGAAACAAGACAAACAAGGAGTCCCCAAGCCTGGGATGAAAGAATTCTTGGCCAAGGGCAGAAACCAGTGAGTCTCTCAGTCTTGCAAGTGCTTATACATCTGTCATTTGCAGATTGTTTCCCAATAGTTATAACTGGCAATGCTTCCCAAAGGAAAGTAAATATAGGTCAATTGGGATTCCCCTCCACTCCCGCTCCTCCCAGATCTGATGCACTGAAATAGTGCTGAGCTGCACTTCCATTTTCCCTCACTTGGTAGCCTGCCAACGTACAGCACATTCCTTTTATGGCAGTGAGTTTATAACTACAACAGTCATAAACTATTCTTAAATGGGTCTTTTCTGAGAATCATGATCCTTCCAACATCTTGAAAAATTTCTCATTTTTTCTATTCCAGGCAGTCCTCTCCAGCACAGTGGTAAAGATTTAATTGCTTCTGGTCTTCAGATGATGAGATACAAGTGTTCTGGAAATAACCTTTTAATTGAACAATTCCTACTGGCAAGCCCAAAAGCATTTTGTGTTGCGCACCTATAAAGGATTAATTCTCAATACCAAAAGAAAAAAAAATTAAAAATTTCTGGGTACTGCTGTGAATAGAACTATGCAAGGGGTACCCTAGCACTTGAAGACATGAAATCCATTTCTGTTATCAGGTTGGTTTGATTAGGTATGTCTCCCTCTCCACCATTATTTGCATTGTCAGGCTTACTAATACAGCAGAGATAACAAACTTTCTATTCTATTATTAATTTGAGACAAATCCCATGCATCATGTTAAATACAACTTCTTTTTATAGCAATGAACAGAAGCCCTTCAACAGAAATTTCTATTCTACTTTTGTGGAACACCTTTGTACTAGCTTTTATTTTTCAATTTAAAAAGAAAGACTAATTTTGAAGACAAACAATTGCAACATTTGGAATCAGCGTTCTTTTAAATTGTGTTACACGTTACTCTGTAACTGAGCAGACATTTTCCTTGCCTTACAAAGATTATTTGCCGGGGTAACAATACACAACAGATACATGACAAGAGCAGTTTCTCTTAGGTAGAATATCTCATAAATGAAGCAAAGAGAAAGCCTCCAGCTAGCTGGTATGACTTAAGCAGATTTCAGACAACACAAGAGAACAGTACCTTCTTTTGAAAAGAGCAGGGTCTCCCTCGTCCCGCAGCCAGATGTGCACAAACCAGCCCTGCAGGGGTTTGCTTGCTTGTTGGGCGTGCTCCCAACCCGCATGGCACACACGCACGCACATGCACACACACACATGCGCGCACACACGCACACACACACGCACACATGCACACACGCACACACGCAAACACACACGCACATGCACACGCGCACACACACATGCACACACACATGCACACACACACACATGCACACACACACACACACAGGCACACACACATGCGCACACACACGCGCGCACACACCCTCATACACACGCGCACACACACACACACGCGCGCACACACAGGCACACGCCCTCACACACATGCACACACGCGCACACACACACGCACGTGCACACACACACACACATGCACACACATGCACACACACGCGCACGCACACGCCCTCATACACACGCACACACACGTGTGCACGCACGCACACACATGCACACACACACATGCACACACACGCGCGCATGCACACATACACGCACACACATGCACACACACACGCACACACACAGGCACACACACGCACACGCC